AAGATGTAAGGTTTTTGAAGGTTATAACAGCCAGGCCATTGCCCAGCCATTTTCCATCCATTATCAGATTTCGAAGGCTTTAAGATTTTATTTTTTGTGAGATTTTCATATTTGGCGACTTTCGGAATTTAAGATTTTAAGATCTTAAGATGTCAAGACTTCAAAATTTCAAGATTAAGAGTTTAAGGAATTTAGAATATAGCCCGGATTGAAGGAATTTTATTATATTTTACTTGTTGATGAATTTCATATTTTCAGATTGCAATAGTTCGAGATTTAAAGAACTGAAGTTTTTGAAGCTTTTAAGATTCTGAGATTTTCAGAGTTTGAGAATTTCGGAATTTCATATTTTAAGATTTTAACATCTGAAGATTCAACGACATGAGGGTTTTAAGAAGTCAAGATTCGAAGACTTGAGGATGTTTATATTTTCAGGTTGCAAGATTCTATCTTCTAAGGTTGTAATTTTAAGATCTTAAGGTTTCAAGATTTTAAAAATTCAAGATTAAGAGTTTAAGGAAGTTAAAATATAGCCCGGATTGAAGGAATGTAATATTTTAATAATTTAAGATTTTCAGATTTCAAGTGTTCGAGGTTTAAAGAATTTAAGTTTTTAAAGCTTTTTCAGATTCCGAGATTTTAAGATTGTAAGACTTTAAGGAGTTTCATATTTTAAGAGTTTAAGATCTCAAGATTCTAAGACATAAGGTTTTTAAGGTTTGAAGATTCGAAGACTTTAGGAAGTTTTTATATTTCCAGATTTTAAGATTCTAAGTTCTAAGATTTTAAGATCTTGAGATTCTAAGATTGATTGTTAGATTTTAATTTGAGATTTTAAGAATCTAAGACTTTAGGATTTTGAGATTTCAATCCAGGCCATTTTCCATCCATTTTCCACCCACTTTAGATTTTAAGATTTTCAGGTTGCACGTTTTCGGCAAAATTGGCCCGACTTAGGGGACAACATCGCCAGCATGCATAACATCATCCGCATCATCCGGGATGATGCTGGCAATGCTGGGGGTGTTGTCCAGTATTAGGCACCCCCTAAAAATGCTCGTTTTTGGACTCGTTTTTGGGCGCTGCGGGGAGATGCTACAAAAATCGCCTAAACAAATCCGCGAATCCTTCGCCCCTTATAAGGGCAGGCCCAGCACAAAGCGTATGCGCATGGTCCGCGCATGGTCGGCGGCATGGGGCGCGCGGCCTTATACCTGAAGGTAAGCCCTAACGGGCTTAGGCCTGCGGCCCGATCACGTCCGGTGGCCGGACATGCATAACATCATCCGCATCATCCGGGATGATGCTGGCAATGCTGGGGGTGTTGTCCAGTATTAGGCACCCCCTAAAAATACTCGTTTTTGGGCGCTGCGGGGAGATGCTACAAAAATCGCCTAAACCAATCCGCGAATCCTTCGCCCCTTATAAGGGCGGGCCCAGCACAAAACGTATGCGCATGGTCCGCGCATGGTCGGCGGCATGGGGCGCGCGGCCTTATACCTGAAGGTAAGCCCTAACGGGCTTTGGCCTGCGGCCCGATCACGTCCGGTGGCCGGATTTAAGGGCTGCCGCCCAGTGCCGCCGACCCCTTCAGTTGGACTGCATCACCAACAGTCATGATGATAATGATGACTACGCACCCTCTGCATCTCCAATCGGCTCTAACGGGACTTTTGAATCGTATATGAAAAAGATAAGGATCCTCATCATAGCCGTGGCCCATCATCGTCATCATCACGGTTATCATCATCGATGATAACCATCATTATGCATCCTCTGCATCACCAACAGTCATGATGATAATGATGACTACGCACCCTCTGCATCTCCAATCGGCTCTAACGGGACTTTTGAATCGTATATGAAAAAGATAAGGATCCTCATCATAGCCGTGGCCCATCATCGTCATCATCACGGTTATCATCATCGATGATAACCATCATTATGCATCCTCTGCATCACCAACAGTCATGATGATAATGATGACTACGCACCCTCTGCATCTCCAATCGGCTGTCGTACATGAAAAAGATAAGGATCCTCATCATAGCCGTGGCCCATCATCGTCATCATCACGGTTATCATCATCGATGATAACCATCATTATGCATCCTCTGCATCACCAACAGTCATGATGATAATGATGACTACGCACCCTCTGCATCTCCAATCGGCTCTAACGGAACTTTTGAATCGTACATGAAAAAGATAATCATCATGGCCGTGGCCCATCATCGTCATCATCATGGTTATCATCATCGATGATAACCATCATGATGCATCCTCTGCATCACCAACAGTCATGATGATAATGATGACTACGCACCCTCTGCATCTCCAATCGGCTCTAACGGGACTTTTGAATCGTATATGAAAAAGATAAGGATCCTCATCATTGCCGTGGCCCATCATCGTCATCATCACGGTTATCATCATCGATGATAACCATCATTATGCATCCTTGCATCACCAACAGTCACTACGCACCCTCTGCATCTCCAATCGGCTCTAACGGGACAATGTCTAATAATAAGGATCCTCATGGCCCATCACATCATCTCGCACCATCCATCCTGCATCACCAACAGTCATGATGATAATGATGACTACGCACCCTCTGCATCTCCAATCGGCTCTAACGGGACTTTTGAATCGTACATGAAAAAGACAAGGATCCTCATCATAGTCGTGGCCCATCATCGTCATCATCACGGTTATCATCATCGATGATAACCATCATTATGCATCCTCTGCATCACCAACAGTCATGATGATAATGATGACTACGCACCCTCTGCATCTCCAATCGGCTCTAACGGGACTTTTGAATCGTACATGAAAAAGATAAGGATCCTCATCATAGCCGTGGCCCATCATCGTCATCATCACGGTTATCATCATCGATGATAACCATCATTATGCATCCTCTGCATCACCAACAATCATGATGATAATGATGACTACGCACCCTCTGCATCGTCATCATCACTGTTATCATCATCGATGATAACCATCATCGTGCATCCTCTGCATCACCAACAGTCATGATGATAACGATGACTACGCACCCTCTGCATCTCCAATCTCATCATCATGATAATCATGTCCACGCATCTTTTGCATCACCAATGAGCTCCAACGCCACACTTGAAATGTATACTATACAAAGACATGGTGACGACTACGTATCAGCATCACTAATCATGTCCACGCATGATGATGATGATGATGATGATGGTGGTGCTGATGATGATGGATGATGATGATGATGATGATGATGATGATGATGATGATGATGATGATAACTATCATCGTAGCATCCTTTGCATCCGCAATGGTGATGATAACTATCATCGTGGCAACGCATCCGCAGCACCCTTCCCGTGCGCCTCCCCCTTTCAGGAGCAGGGGTCGGCGGATATATATGGTATGCTTGTTTGATGGTGCCCCGTTATTTGTTATATATATATATATATGGTACCCCCCTCCCCCAATGGACCCTTGTACAACCCCAAAAAGCAGTAAAACCAGGGTCCATGGGGGGGGATGTATATATAATATAATATATATATATATATGTCGCCTTTTTTTCAGCTGCTTTCCCCAAAGCAGTGAATTCTGAAGGAAGGTAGATCCACGAGGGGGGGGGCACATATATATATATATATACGTGTGTGTGTGTTTTTTTTCGGGAGGAACCCCACATTTTTTGGTTTTCCCTTTGAAACCACAAGAAAAAGGTACCCTCAAAAGAAGACACACCCATATACGTTTGTGTTGGGGGGGGTTAAACTGAAGCCAAAAAGAAATGCGTTGGGGAGCCATTTTGCATAAACTTATCCAAACCAGGCCCGCTTTTTTGGTGGGGGGCCAGGCGTGGTGTAAAGGAAGCCGATCAAGATTCGCAGTAGCCTATGGGCCTTGGGGAGGAGCCCAAAATTGTTCCAAGCCGGGCTCCAATGTTTCCACGTTTTTTGGTGGGAAGCAACTAAGTTTGACAGTGGCTCGTAGGCATGTTGCACTTATTTTGTGTGCTTATATATATATATATGGTTAGATGGCGCCTTTGTTGCAAGGATGAGACGCGGCAGTTGTTCATGATTCCCAAGGGCTTTCCAACTGAAATGCTGCTTTGGGTTGGAAGATGCGTTTTCCAAGCCAATTGCGTTGCGGCGAGGCAAGAATGTACATGGCCAAACGGGGCCCTTGTTGATTCGGCGGCTGACGGCTCCGTCACAAATCTCGCAAGGGCCCAAAAGTGAACCGAGTCCCCTCCAAGAATGGACACCCCGATGAATTTCGGTGAAACAACCAAAGGTGGCCAAAAACATCGGTTTCGACAGGAGTTTCCGAAGACGATTTAAAGCCTTAATACTTTAAGTGCGACAACGCGTCGTACGCACGTCGTGGGAACAACAGAAAGGGCGATCGCCAGTTCCTCCGAGCTGTCTGAGTATTTCCCTGTGTGAAGCTTTATGGAGCCAGGAAGCCTAAACCAAAACGGCAAGGAGGTTTCGGGTCCTGACGAAACGGGCGCTGGGGAAAAAAAACACCTAGTGATTCCATGTGGGCTTCATATTTTTTCGGCCCGTGAAGAGGAGGTTTCCGTGGACTTCACGCCCCAAGGCTCTTTTTAAATACCCTGCAGGAAAACCAGAGAAACAAATCGGGGCTCCTTAAAAGATCTCCATTTTGCCACCATTTGCAACATGTTGCTTTTTCAACACCAAAATAAAGGGAGTTGCCACTATTTACAAGTTGCAATGTTCAGGTGGATCTATTGCATCCGGATCCCTGCAACTTCACCACACTCCGCCAGCCAGGGATCGCTGGGACGGTTGCTTCTTTTCTACGGCTACCTTCCTCATTCTTTCCAGGGATCCTTCTTTTCAGGAAACCACCAAAACCCAGGGGAAACACCCGGTTCTTGAAAAGAACGATGGTTGAAAAGAATGGGGAATCAACCTCTAGATCTTTGTTGCCTGGCTCGTGGAACTCAGGATGCAGATGGGCCGAAAGCGGCCTGCCCAGGAGACTCGAGAAGTCGCTGTCGAAAGGGGAGCCTCCCAGACCGGGCCCCACTTGCAACAGACCTTACCCCCGAAACCCAGCCTTACACAAGGAACCCCCACGCGAGCAAAGCCTAAACCCTAGACCCTGAACCTACCATAAAGACCCTCCACCCTAGACCTGACACAAACCCTAAGCTAAACCCTAAACCAACCCAAAATAGACCCTGAACCAACCCCAAACCAGCACCAAGTCAAATCCATCCTTAACAATCACGAAGCCCCCAAACTTTAGATCTGGCCAAGATCCAGCGACTTCAGCAGGTCGCAAGAAAGCGGAAAACGTCATGTTTTGATGATATCTTGGTCTATGATTCTATGATGTGTAGTCATGCCCAAGAAACCTACATGATTGTGGAATAGATGTGGCTTCCAGCTTACTTCTCGCCATGACCCAGGCAGTGGCTTCAACTAATTTTGACTCAGATTGGGCGAGGCCAGAATTCCTCACATTTCCTCACTCATCATGTGGGACATAATATACCATGTTTGCAGTGCTTTGCAAGTGGAGATCTCACCAAACCTCTGGCTCGGGTGGCTCGGGTGTAGTAGAAGCCATCCCCAACGGAGTCGTGAGCGGTGAGACTTCGCGCAGGAGAGCTCGTCATCGAGTTCCGGCAGTGCGAGCCTCACAAAAAACATCTGCCGAGGTTGTGGTGTGGCAGGCGGAGCGACGATGGCCTGGCCTGGTAAATGGGCTCAGAACACGAAAGAACCGGGCCCCCAAAAAAAGACGAGGCAAAGCGCCAAGCTTCCTGTTTCTACTAGTTTTGGCGAGTGTGCCAGCAATCTTCCTTTTTTTCTGCTAGTCGCTGGGCAACTGCGAGACTTCTATCAAAGGGAAGGGCCTAGTAAACAGCAAGAAACTCCGCCTCGGCCACAGTGGTTCAGTGGCACCGTCTTGTTTGGGCGCCAAACTTCTTGTTTCTACTCGTCGCTGGGCAACTAGGAGACTTACAAGGGAACGCCCTAGTATACAGCGAGATCTTGGGCTTTTTCTTTGACCATTCCCGCTTTGTGAACTTCTGGGCATTCCGAGTGACATTTTTGGGAGCAATGTAACCGCTTGAGAGGAGGTCCCCCAGCTAGGTGCCCTTTTACCAACTTTTTGGCGGAGGGTGTCCCTTCTAAAATAGACGGCAGAAAAAAGGGTACCCTTATTCTAACCTCTCAGATCTGAAGGATCTAGTTTAGATCTCAGGTTCCTTGACTTTGGGCAACTTGTAGCAAGCTCGCAAAGGAGGCTTGCAACATCACCCATAGGCCTTTTTCTGCAGTTCATTCAGCTCAGGTTGACGGATTTTCATCAAATGTTTGGAAGGAGCTTCTGTGTTACCCATTGAAAGGTAGTGATGAACACAATGATGAAAGCATGCGAGAGTGCGTGTGGCAAAGGAATTGAACTCGCGAAAAAGAGACGACGCTCCGCGCGGTTGTTGTCCCTCCGGTGGGCGGAACTCCGGCGGGCTGAAAGCTACCTGGTCGCGACGCCTGTCTCGGAACGGGCCCGGAACGAATTCAGAATGGGCCCAGACCGGGCCAACAAGGCAAAGTGTGCAGCGATGTTTGGCGTTGACGGGGCACAACCGGAATGTTTCAACAGACGGACAGCGAACGAGCCCATGTTTATTCCCAGAAGGAAACCAACGTATTTCTTTCTATCGAAAGTGATATTTCAGGAATTTCCCTATAGGTGACATGTTTGGGGAAGGGTATTTCTTCGACTTGTCCAGATCCTGCTTCATCCGGACCTATTCCGATTCGAGAGCTTGCGCCTTGCTTTGGAGCAATACTGCACTGCCAAGGCGGCTCCGATTGTGAAGAAGAGGATGAGCGTGGGCTGACAGGACCCTCTACCTGGTTTAATGGGAGCAAGGGCGAGGAAGTAACTGGTTGCCCCTTCACGTGGGTCTGCGTGGCTTTCTGTTTCTGCGTGTTCTGTTTTGTTCGGTCGGACTTTGAAGTTGGACCCGAGGGCTTGAAGCCTTTTGCCCCTCAACAGCTGAAAGCTATGGGGTCCAGAGCCGAGTGGCTCTGGGTTTGGGGAAGTTTCAGGCAGGGTTCCGAAGAAAATAATAATTGACATTTGGGCGCCCTGCCGGAACACGAGGATAGAGGGCGAGTTGCGAACCCCAACCCCGCGAAAGCCCCAAGACGACCCGAATTTTTGCCAGTCGTTTGGTTTCAGTGGCCCGGCGGCGTGCAGAAACTGCTAGGGCAGCAGCCTCAAAAGAAGGTCAGCTACAAAGAAATGGGTATGGCTCAAAATTCAATAGGAGGGGCCAACCGCAGGTTTTGGTCCATATTTCCACTTACCAGGGCAACCCATTTTGGGTACCGGTTTTTTGAGCCACAGCCAAATTGCACGTGTCCGGTTCACTTCGGGCGGCTTGAAAATGCGTTGGCTCTCCGCTTTTGCGCTCGCGCAGGACGCCTGCCAGACCAAGTCTCCGCAGACATGCTGAGCGCCACCCCCAAGCGAGCGCCGCGGCCTCAGCTTGCCCGCCTTGGCCTTTGGAACTGCTCTCTTCCTTCCTCTCACCAACACATGGACTATGATAAAGAGATATGACTCCAGAAGTAAGATAAAGAAAAATATAGTTATAAAAGAGATAAACAATGAAGAAGTAAACCAGGCAAAACCCAGAATATTTACAGCAAGACGCCAAAAGGTATAAACACTGTTACAAAAGTATTAAACAATAAGCTAAGATAAGATATTGTTTTGGTTCCTGGTACCTTCAAAACACTGGTAACTGGAAACGCTCGACGCACCAAAGCTGGTAGATTTACCACCAAGTTTTTCAGTAGGTTCCACCTTTTCCCTTTTGGTTTAATTGAGGTCCCTAATGCGTTCTAAAATCGGTAGCGCCAAGAAGGATCATCGGGCGACTGGGCTTTGCGTGGCTCACGCTGATTTTTCGGCAGCGCTTGCTGTTGTCTTGTTTCATGTCTTCTTCTTCTTCTTCTTCTTGAACTTGGTTATCTCTTGAAAGTTGTATTTAAGTTGGTATTTGTACCCTTTTGTGAAGTTGTCCAGTTGGCCCCCTTGTTTTGAGTTGGCTAGCGTTTGTTTGGAGTTGTTGAACCCTTTTTGGGGCTGAGTTACAACGGAAAACCAAGGGGAACCAGACACTGCCTTGCGAGTTCCATGTTTCCTTTTTTTCAATGTCTGTGGCCCTCATCCACAAGAGGTCCTTTTCGGGAGTTGAGGTTGGCTCAATCTTCAGCATATCTCTTTGGCACTCTCTGGAAGACATCCAACCTTGGCTTTCAAGGCTAGTCCAGTTGCTGTGACCTGTTTTCTCGATGCGGCTCACCATTTCACCGTCGAAGCAGCGAGTCTATGCTTTCGACGCACAGTTTTTTGTTGTTTGTTGCTTTATGCTCTCTAGTAAAAAAAAAAGGAAAGAACAAACGTGTCTTGTACTTGGTGTTAGCAGGAATGGTCATCTACCCGGTAGTAAGGATCCTTTATGCCAGCTTGTTGGATTCATGTGATTCTTTCAAGGAACTTCAAGCCGAGCTGAGGCGCACTAAGGCAGAGCGCCTTGCTCGAGCACTGTCCTCAGACATGAGCGGGTTGGCAACCTCCTGGGAAAGTGTAGACTCCTATTGGGCTCGGGAAAAAATCGGGGGTCCCCACATTCTCCAATGTGCGGGTGAGTTAGGTTCTCGTCAAGCATGCTTCACGTCCGTGGAGGGGTCCTGCTCGACAAATAGATAGGTTTTTTCGTGTTTGGCGGTTGGTACTTGGATGTCTGACCTCGCGCTAGTAAGGTGTTAGCCACTTGGTTTTTGTTGCACCAAACAAGGCTCACCCCACTTCCGGGACTTGTAAGTGGGTCATAACCTAGGTTACCTACAACCCTGGCCGAACACCAAGTACCTTTCTTGGCATGACTGGGACCATTGAATGAACACGCCCTTTCGGTTTTGCCCCACCCTTTCGAGACCTGGTCGCGGGGAAAGAGCGGTGGCTTCAGTTGGGGAATCCTGATCCTGTCGGGTTCCGAAGGGATCCCTCCATGCTGAGCAATGCTCATTCCGGATCTAAGCAGCACCTTGTGGATTATGATAGGACGCGCAACTTCCCCGAAGAGAAGGGATATCCCCAAATCAACATAGACTGGGGCCAACATTTGTGTGGTTTGTGAAGCACGGCATGTCTGGATGTATTGCAAACTTCTGGTGTTTTGAGTTGTCACAAATGGATAGTTGCAACGAAGCATTCTGACAGCAGGGTTTTTCCCGAGTGTCACACGGCAACAAGTTGCTGCGTTTGCACGTGAGCAGCTTAAAGCCCCTCGCTGGCCAATTCAGCGAGGAGGTTTGGTTGGCTTTCAGTCAGAGTTGCCATCACGACCCTAGTCAGGGAATTCCCCTTACGAAGAGGGGGGCCACCTCTTCCGCCAAAGAAATCCGACATAGACCTTGTGGCACCCGTGTCTGGCAGAAAGGATTTGTTTGAGTGCGCATGTCAGAAGGAGTGCCGCGCCCGAGCTCAAGAGATGTGAAGTGAAGCCAAGAATCAATCCAAGCCAAGCAGTCGACTTCTCGGAGCAACCCTAGGGCTTTTAGGTGTTTAGTTGTGTTGTTTCCACCAAGAGACTAGTCAAAGCACGCCACCAAAAGTTAAAGTTCGGATCTTGTTCGAGGTCTTCCCATTCCTTCCACTTACTCACTATATCAACAGAATTGGCCTCCCAAACCATCCAGAGTGCGACTTAAGAGGGCGAACCTCGCGACCGTCGCTGGGAAAAATGGGCATGGGCCCCTTGGCGGTTGCCCTTTTGGCACCTCGGCGCCAACTGAACCACTTGTTTTTCATTTTTCCCGTTCTGTTTCTTTGTTTCTTTCGGGTCTCCTTATTTGGGCACAGACCCCATTTTCCCAGCAGTTCCTGAATTTGGAATGTATCATCTTAGGCCAATTGCGAGTTATCCTTTGGATGCTGAAAGGGGATTTATCTTGGGAACATCGTGGTATAACCACCCGTTCCTTCTTGCACCCCGGGCGACTTCTTCTCCAGACCAACGAACCGCTTAGGGCAAGACGGCAACCTCCCACCAAGAGCCGGCCGTATCCCGACGGCATTTGTTCCACAGCGTAGGCAACATACTGCTTGTGATGGCTTTTTTTTGTTATTTTTTTTTCTATCTCTCTCTCTCTCTCTCTTCCTCTCTCTTGCGCAGGTTACAACTTGCAGTGCCCTTTCAAGATCACTGCACGCCACGCAAACTCACCCTTTACAATGGCCAACTAAAAGGGTGAGATTTGACAAATCGCTCGTGAGATAGGGGCAGACCACTGCATAGAATCATACACACATGTCTCATAGGTGACACATAGCGGTCTGACACTCTTGTCTGGTGGACGAGTATCAACATCAGAAAACCCTTTTTCGTCCTTGCCCCTTACTGTAATGGCTTGGCTTCGTTAATTTCAACGAGCAGGTTAACTTTTGGTCTCGAAAGTCATGACGAGATTCGTGAGGGGTACATGGGTTCTCAAGGTGGGTCCGCGAGCCCAAAGTTAATACCGCTCGTTCGGTAGAACTGGAGAGCCTTCAAGAAAATATGATGAGGGTTCCCTTGCAAGAGATGAAACATGCGGGGGTTGCGTCCTTGACCTCTCAAGGTTCGGCTACTTGAAGAGACCAGCAGTTCAGGGGACAGTCCCTATGGCACCCGGCGCATTCACTTTGTATCTGTCAGGAGGGGATTCTCCCAGGTTGACTCGGCTCCCGGCATCCGGTTCCTGAGCTTTTTCCCGAAAAGCATTGCGATGGGTTTTTTTTTTGAGGAAAGACCTGGAGCGGATGACACCAAGTAGCACAAGATAGCTCCAAGCTGTGGCAAGTAGCACTAGCGAGTTGGACAAGCAAGATAGCACTAGCAAGATATGCACTAGCCAGCAGCACTAGCAAGATAGCACAAGCAAAATATGCACTAGCCAGCAGCACTAGCAAGATAGCACAAGCAAGATGCACTAGCGAGTTGCACTAGCAAGATAGCACAAGCAAGATATGCACTAGCCAGCAGCAGTAGCGAGTTGCACTAGCAAGAAGCAGCACTAGCAAGATGCACTAGCCAGCAGCACTAGCAAGATAGCCAAGCATGCACTAGCGAGTTGCACTAGCAAGATAGCACAAGCAAGATGCACTAGCCAGCAGCACTAGCAAGATAGCACTAGCAAGATATGCACTAGCCAGCAGCACTAGCAAGATAGCACAAGCAAGATGCACTAGCGAGTTGCTACTTTGACTAGCAAGATAGCACAAGCAAGATATGCACTAGCCAGCACTAGCACTAGCAGATAGCACTAGCACTAGCACAGCAGCACTAGCATAGCAGCACTAGCATGCACTAGCCAGCAGCACTAGCAGATAGCACAAGCAAGATATGCACTAGCGAGTTGCACTAGCAAGATAGCACAAGCAAGATGCACTAGCCAGCAGCACTAGCAAGATAGCACTAGCAAGATATGCACTAGCCAGTAGCACTAGCAAGATAGCACAAGCAAGATGCACTAGCCAGCAGCACTAGCAAGATAGCACAAGCAAGATATGCACTAGCCAGCAGCACTAGCAAGATAGCACAAGCAAGATGCACTAGCACTAGCAAGATAGCACAAGCAAGATAGATGCACTAGCGAGTTGCACTAGCAAGATAGCACAAGCACGATGCACTAGCCAGCAGCACTAGCAAGATAGCACTAGCAAGATATGCACTAGCCAGCAGCACTAGCAAGATAGCACAAGCAAGATGCACTAGCGAGTTGCACTAGCAAGATAGCACAAGCAAGATGCACTAGCCAGCAGCACTAGCAAGATAGCACTAGCAAGATATGCACTAGCCAGTAGCACTAGCAAGATAGCACAAGCAAGAGCACTAGCACTAGCAAGATAGCACAAGCAAGATAGCACTAGCACTAGCCAGCAGCACTAGCAAGATAGCAGCACTAGCAAGATATGCACTAGCACTAGCAGCACTAGCAAGATAGCACAAGCAAGATGCACTAGCCAGCAGCACTAGCAAGATAGCACTAGCAAGATATGCACTAGCCAGCAGCACTAGCAAGATAGCACAAGCAAGATGCACTAGCCAGCAGCACTAGCAAGATAGCACAAGCAAGATATGCACTAGCGAGTTGCACTAGCAAGATAGCACAAGCAAGATGCACTAGCCAGCAGCACTAGCAAGATAACACTAGCAAGATATGCACTAGCCAGCAGCACCAGCAAGATAGCACAAGCAAGATGCACTAGCGCACGAGCAAGATAGCACAAGCAAGATATGCACTAGCCAGCAGCACTAGCAAGATAGCACAAGCAAGATGCACTAGCGAGTTGCACTAGCAAGATAGCACAAGCAAGATAGCGATGCACTAGCGAGTTGCACTAGCAAGATAGCACAAGCAAGATGCACTGCACTAGCAAGATAGCACAAGCAAGATATGCACTAGCCAGCAGCACTAGCAAGATAGCACAAGCAAGATGCACTAGCGAGTTGCACTAGCAAGATAGCACAAGCAAGATATGCACTAGCCAGCAGCACTAGCAAGATAGCACAAGCAAGATGCACTAGCGAGTTGCACTAGCAAGATAGCACAAGCAAGATGCACTAGCCAGCAGCACTAGCAAGATGTACTAGCCAGTAGCACTAGTAAGTAGCACTGGCAAGTGGCGCTGGCAAGTTGCAGTGGCGAGTTGCACTAGCAAGTTGCACTAGGAAGTTGCATTGGCAGGTCACATGACAGGTTGCTTCAGCAAGCTACAACAGCGAGTTGCACGATAGATTTGCACGAAAGGTATTCAGTGTAATACTCGAAAAAATATGTGCTAATACTCTTATGAACTCGGGCGTGAAAGAAAGAACATGAAGCTCGACGAGTCTAAATCACTCTTTGAAGGCAGCGGGCCTGCACTGGCTTGGCGATCGAAAAGCCGACCCTCTGCGGAGATCGGCGGCGTCCATCTCAAAAAGCTGGAGACGTTTGCGACTTTTTAACATGAGCGCGGGACCCTCTGCGGAGATCGGCATGGTCGATGTCAAAAAACTGCGGATATTTATGAATTTCTATCATGCGCGCGCGCCGTGTAGGAGATCGGCATGGTCGATGTAAAAAAACTGGGGACTTTTCCGACTTATCATGCCAGCGCGACCCTGCGCGAAGATCGGCGTGGTTGATGTGAAAAAGCTGAGGACTTTTACGCGCGCGCGACCCTCTGAAAGGTCAATGTCAAAAAACTGGGGACTCTTCCCACTTTCTATCATGTCCACGCCACCTTCTGCGAGAATCGGCGTGGTCGATGTATTAACTGAGGACTTTTCCGACTTTTTAACATGCGCGTGCGACCCTCTGCGGAGATCGGCGTGATGAAAAAATGCCTGGAGGCCCAATTGATACAGAAATTTATGCTCGAATGATTTTGGCGAAAAAAGTGCCCGAAGCGTTTTTGGGAGCCAGCGGCTTGGCGGTAGAGTAGTGACCAGAGTTTGTGCAGTTGTTGAAATTGCGCTCGGTTGCGCGGATTTGTTCCCAAGTTGCACGCCCGAAGTTGCGCCGAATCGAAACGCGGTGCGCATCTCGGGCAACGCCGTCTTCAAACCTGCTCGATCGTTTTTAATCGCAACTTTTGAGTACGAAATTAATACGCAAAGTAAACTGTCGTAGCTCCGGCTAAAAAAAGCAACTTTTGAGAGCGAAGTACACACGCCACGGCTGGAAAATCGCGGTATGTCCGCTTCATTTTCCATGTGTGTCCCTTTCATTGCCAGTCATTTCCCTACATCTCCCTTCGTGTCCTTTGGTTTCCTCGTCCTTTGTTTCCCGTTCATTCCCCCTTCACTCCCCTTGTTCTCAGTCCATTCCCCTTCATGTCCGTTTCAGTTCTCCTAACTTCCCCTTTATTTCACCTTGCTTTCGTGTAATTTCCATTTCCTCTCGCCTGCATTGCATTGCCCTTTATTCCCCCTTCATTTCCCTTCACTTCCTTGCATTCACCTTCACTCCCCGGTATTTTCCCGAAAAACAACGTTTTCGCAAAGAGGTCAAATAACACAGGAGATTTCCATGTTGGGCAAATGAAGCCAAACAACCCGAACCAGCAAAGAGCCGGCAGGGGGGTTCGAGCCTGGGACCCCTGTTCTGCCACACCGGCTACCCGAAGACACTTTTTCAGTGGAACATCATCAAATTGCCGGCCACCAAGCCCACCCCCTTGCCCCCCACGTATCAGACGTCAGTCGGGGGGAGGGGTTTGGGGGGGGGAGGTTATCCTCTATCCTCTCTTAGATATCCGACACGCCGAGCAATGTCGGCGGACTTTCGCTGCTCCAGTCGGAACTTTCAAGTACGAAAGTAGCACGCGAAGTAAACTTTCGCAGCTCCGGCTGCGCAAAAGTATCATGCGAAGTAAGCTGTCGCAGCTCCGGCTGCAAAATCGCAACTTTTACTTGCTCAGAGCAACTTGCTGAGAGAACTTGCCAGGAGAACTTGCTCAGAGGAAATCGCGCCAACAACTTGCTCAGAGCAACTTGCACATGGAACTCGCTTGGAGAACTTTGGCAGAGGAACTCGGGCCAACAACTTGCTCAGAGCAACTTGCACAGAGAACTTGCTTGGAGAACTTTGTCAGAGGAACCCACGCCAACAACTTGCACAGAGCAACTTGCACAGAGAACTTGCTTGGAGAACTTTGTCAGAGGAACTCGCGCCAACAACTTGCTCAGAGCAACCTGCACAGAGAACTTGCTAGGAGAACTTCCCGCCGCTGCTAATGCTTTCGGGCGCTTTGTAGTTGGCTTAGTGAGGATTTCCATTACTTTTAGCAGGGGAGCTGAGGGCAGCTCAGATGAATGTCCAAGATGCGGTACCTGTTGGAAGCTAGGGTTCGTGGTGTTTCTCAAAATAAGGGTTCTCTAAAATGCGTGCTTTCCTTTTGGATGCCCTGTAGAAAACTCACCAAAAAGGGTCCACCGCCAGCACCCCCCAATGGCTGGCCAATTGCCGGCACATTGAGTTTGGGCAAAACGATGTCACTTTATGTCTAAGTGTCTGCAAAAGGAATTTGCTCTTAAGTATCACTCACGCTGTACTTCGTGCAATTGGTGCAATGATACAAGTGACCTTCCAGGGGGGTTGTAGGGCAAAGGGGAGGCTGGCAAATTTGAGGTCTGGAGGGCAAGTTTGAGGTTGGGAGGGGTTCTTGAGGAGCGTGTCACGGCGTGTCCGGGGGTGGCCAATTGCCGGCACATGTACGTTGAACGGTCACTTTTTTGGGATACGAGCGTGTCACCAGCGTGTCGCCCTCCCCCACCTCGCGCGTTGCATGTGCAATGATCATACATGTCAGCCCAACCCCTCAACTGGATCCCCCCTGGTATCCTGAAGCAACGTTTCAATAAAAGTGACCTTTCACTGCACTTTGATGGCAAAACATCTATGTGACAACAAAACCATTTTTAAGCAAGTGCTGGTCAATTGCCGGCACTTCGCCAGGGACACCAATTACCGGCCATTTGGGGGGTTGGCATGTACTTCAGAGGAAGGTTCCCATGACCCTGTTGCAACCGGCCACAAGGTTAAATTGGTCAACTCGCAGGCCTCCTGACTGCAAGTTCAGCATGCTGAATGAATATTTGTCAGGTTCCCCTGCTTGTTTTAGATGGAATGCATGACTTTTGCAAAATTGAATACTTGTCAGAGGGCGAAGAAGCCAATTTAGGTCTCCAGTGGTTGTTTGTTTGAAGACGATTGCAAGCGGCCAAATGCGGTCCGAGAGCGAGCGGGTTGGTTGATATACAATTTGTATTGCTCAAATGTGTTTTGTACCATCATGATCACATGCCTAAGGGGATCTTCAATTGTAACGATGGGTGCTCAATCTCGATCGACAAACAAGATGATGACTACTGCGATTGCAGGGGTTGCGAAGACGAGTCTAATTGGGACTGCTCCACTTGCATTGGTGGCTGCCCTCATCAGAGCTGCCTATCGTATACAAAATGCCTGAGCAGCGGAGCGTATGGTGCTGGTAGTGCCTACGGTGGTGGATACAGTGGTGGATACAGTGGTGGATACGGTGGAGGATATGGCGCCGGAACGACGCCTCCGGCAACCTTCACATGTAACGACGGATGCCAAATTTCTTACCATGAGACGAACGATGGCTATTGCGGCTGTCCAGATTGCGAAGATGAGGAACTGCTCACCTGTTGGATGTGCGCCGATGGCTGCCCCAGTGCCTGCACTGATGTAAGCACCAGCTGCTACATACCGCCAGGCAGGGTCAACTATGCATAAACCCCATGTGCCTTGTGCTTGCACATGGGAACAATTCTATTGCACATGGGCGCATATGAGATCTATGGTTGGTTTCGCGGGTCCGTCCGCATGTGCCTTGTGCAGTGTGTGTGTGTGTGTGTGTGGGGGTGTTTGTGGATTTGTGGATTTGTACCGTGCTCTTCTGCTTCTTTGGGTGTGGGTGAATTGTGCGTGCGGAACCAAATCGCGTGAACGCGCTGCGCGCCTTTTTGCCTGCCTGTGCCTGTTGCCTGCCTCCCGGCCCGCGGTGGCCACCATGGCCATCTACGGAAAGACTCATGGCTTGCGAAGTTTCGCGAAGTTGGCGGAAGCAAACTTCGAAACCTTACAGCTTCATTTGCTTCTGCATTAGCCATACATTCTTGCATGCTCCCATGGTCGCCCTGCAAGCATAAACTTCTGGACTGGGCGCGAAGAAGGCACGCTTGAGCTTGAGTCTGCAAGGTTTGCAGAGCCTTGTGGCTTTTGCAAAGTGCCCTGGCCGGCGCGTTTTTGAACATGGAAGCCAGCATCTGTTGCACCAGCTGGCTCATGCTGCCTGCAAAGAACTGCGCACTAGATCTCACGCAGCGCAAGGTGCATTTCTTTACTCCACAGTGGACAACCCAGGATTTTCTACTTGGTTTGCCGAAGGGTGTGCTGGTGCAAGCGTGCAATACCACGTCTAGCGGGGTGCAAACTTCAGCATATCGCAGAAAGAAAAGTTTAAAAAGCTAATGTGCTGCGCCTGTGGGCTTTTTATTGGGCATGTTTGGCACATGGGTTTGGATATGCCTGCAGCATGCAGATTTGCTTGGGACTGAGTTGAAGTGGTGTGTGACACAGCTTCTTAGCCATGCGGGTGTTCCAAAGAAGATTGCCAACTTGGTTACCGTGTGGTTGCCACACGCAACTCGCACTAAGATGCGCTTCCTTGTCACCGGCCAACAGCTTTTTGCATGAATGTCCAGAGCAACTCTTGCTTCATCGCATGCGTCACATAAGTTGTCATCATGTAGCCATTGGCCATGCTGGCTTCATGTGTGACAGATGTCTTGTTGGCCAGGGTGGCTTTTGTCATCATCGCTCCAGCCATGCCTAGAGCCATTCCGGCTTCATTGTCAACAGAGCAAGCGTAAGAGACACCTGTCACAAGAATAGTGCATCAGTGGCAAGTGGCACACATCCTTTTTGGTTGTTTTGGTAGGAAAATAGAAGGCGATTCCTGGTTTACTTGGTGGTTTCATCATCTGCCAGGGCACCTACAGAAACTCTGTTCTCACTGTTGCAAGCAACCTGCGAATGATCTTGCGCAGAAACACGGCAAGAGATCTGCACGCACTGGCCTCATGGCACAAATCCTGGCAACCCAAAGGGGCAACCAACTGTTTGACCCCCTCCTGCCAGTCTCCCTGGCCCCATTTCACCGCTCAACAGCCCTTGAGCTGAGCGCACAGTACAATTGGCAGCGTCACGGCGGAGAAGGTACAGGAGGCCAAGAGGCCAAGCACCGGTTGCTTCCCTAAACCGATGCAAAGCTTTACGTCACCGGTGCCGGTGCTGCAAACATCTGGTTTGTCCTCAGATTTGGCGCTAGCGCCCTTGCATTTGCGTCTGTAAGCCTGCAGGTTCCCGTCGCTTCCAGAGCCAAGTTTGGGACAGGCGCCCGCTCGCGCTCAAGGCATTGGCCCCGCATTTGCCTTGTGGCTTTGAACTCACATGTGAAAACTTCTAACATGGACCTCTTGGATAAAGGTCGACACCAAAAGCAACTCGCTTCACCGAATTGGGGCGTTTCACCGATTTGGAGAAACACCAAAAGCACCAGGGGCGAGCGAGCCAGCTCGCTCGCAGCAAGCGTTAGGCAAGGCAACAATTGGGGTAGTAAGGGAGAATCCCTTCCACATAGCTGCGGATATCCGCCTTCTTAATTGTTTACATGGTCCTGGGTGGACCATTTCGATACCAGGTTTTGATTATGACTCAATTGTACTGCTAGCTCATCTTGGGATTCCAAGCTGGCGCTCGTGTCAAAGCTGCTGATGCTTGGGGAGCAAACAGCGAAGGCACTATGTGGCGCACAAACACCCAGATTTGTGTTTTCACTCGCGCAGAAAACCTTGGAAACGGATTTGGTTGAACGCTCCATTTGCCTTTGCCACGCTGGCCCATGGAAGACAATCAGGAGCTGCCAAAGACTGAGCATGGAGCCTTCTCGCGTCAGGCAAGGCCCAGGCCATTAATCACAGCATTGCTTCTCCAAGTGCGCGCGAATGCACTCGAGCAAATGCACTCTGAAAGCCTGTTTTAGCCAAAGAGTTGGGTTGTAATCAATGCCTTTGCCCTTTTTGTTCCATGCTCCAGTGTCGGCCGATTTGTGTTTGCCATATGTGTTTAAGCTGGTTTATGTGGTTTAAGCTGGTTTATGTGGATGTTTGTGAACGCGTGGCGCTCGTCTGCCTGCGAGCTTGCATGCCTGCCTCCCTGCCTGCCTGCCTGCCTGCCTGCCTATCTGTCTGTCAGTCAGTCAGTCAGTCAGTCAGTCAGTCTGTCCTTCTGTCCTTCTGTCCTGGCTGTTTCTTTGCCTGTTTTCTTCTTTGTTTCTGTCCTTTTTGGTCCCTTTGTTTGTCTGTGTATGCGTTTTGTCTCCGGTTTTCCTGTTTCCGTTTTTTCTTGTTGGGTTTCGTGGAGAGTCTTTTTCCGGGCTTGGACGATGCGACTGCCTGATATCCAGGAAACAACATCACGTGTCAAGATGGGTGCGTCATCTCGCCTCGAAAGCTCAACGACAACTACTGCGATTGCTCCAACTGCGAGGATGAGGCGCACTGGGACTGCAGCACCTGCGGAGGCTGCCCCACGGCGTGCGGACCCGGGCAAAGGGTTGAGTGCCCGGCGCCTTGGCTTGCTTAGCCTGTCCCATGGCTGTTTAGCAGGTGCTAAGCATGGTTAAGCCGTTCCGGCGTTTGCCACTTGTGCAAATCAGCCCAGTCGGTAACAGCCCCGGAGCCCCCTAGAACCCTTTGGAACCGCGCCAACTGCGGGTCCCCGAGATGAGGAAGCCCCATGTCCGGGAAGGAGTGAAACGACGCAAAGTTGAAAGTGGGCTTCGACCACCAGAGTCAGCATCCGATTTTTTGCCACCGTCACCAAGCTGTGTGTGTGTGTGGGTGTGGGTGTGTGTGTGTGTGTTGTGTGTTGTGTGTTGTGTGTTGTGTGTTGTGTGTTGTGTGTTGTGTGTTGTGTGTTGTGTGTTGTGGTGTGGTGTGGTGTGGTGTGGTGTGGTGTGGTGTGGTGTGGTGTGGAGTGGTGTGTGTGTGTGTGTTTTTTGCTGCCAAAAGGAAATTGCAAGGCAGTCCAGAGTGGTGAGAAGAGAAGAAGAGAATAAGAGAGGATGGGAAACGAGTGAGGTGAGGTGAGGCGGGGCGAGGTGAGGTGAGGTCTGTGACGGAGACAGAGAAAGGGAGATCGACAGGAAAAGAGAGAGAGAGAGAGAAAGAGAGAGAGAGAGAGAGCGAGAGAGGGATCGCTCTCTCTCCCAGTTCCTCTCCAGCCTTTGCAGCCTTTCGTGGCGTGTTTTCGGTTTTGGCTTTTATATATATATATATATGTGTTGTTTTCTCTTTTTTTTTTTGGGGGGGGGGCTGCCGCCTGCTGCTTTGCATATATATATATATTCATATTTTACAGCGATGAACGCTTAGTTGAATCATCACTTTTTCAAGCATCATTCGGGGGCTGTCGTTGAAGAGATAAATGCACCCTTGGTGTATGTCCGTATGCATGCACTTATTCGAAGATCATGGGGATGTGGGAAGCCAAGGCATGTGCTTGCGTTTCGCTTGTTCGGCAAGAGAAGGTCCGAGAATTCGCCGCCGGTTGTCAGATATTGGACGTGTTGAAACAGCTTCTGGGGACCAACCAGCTGCAAGAAAGACACCCAGCTCTTTTCAGATCTTGCAAGGCAGATTCGGGAGTCAAATGGTAAGTGGAGTTAGTGACTAACTCTCAGCAGTTTCGGCCAGCAATTGTCCAATTGTCGTATCTCATGGTGGCTTTAAACATCCACCTTGGCTCAAAGGTGAGTGTCCCTTGGCTGTGGCTTTAAACATCCACCTTCGCCCAGGCAAAGATCACGTGTCCTGGTGGCTGCGACATTCCTTTCAAGGCCTTCAACGACCACCACTGCGATTGCAGTGGATGTGAGGATGAAGATCCTCGAAGCCATCCATTTCCTTAGCTTGTTCGCCTGTTCGTGTTGGGTAGGTCCCAAATTTGACCCTGGTTCGCCAAGTTGCGATCGCTTTTTTCAGTCACTGTTGCTGGTTTTTGGGGTAAAGTGGATGGACAAAATGCAGCAACTGGCGATCCAGGCACTAAGACTTAGTTTCACTCTTAGCCGGGGATCTGAAAACGGGCCCAGGATCGCTACGACTGCTCCAGCTGCAATTGTCCAACGATCTGCGGAGAAGGCTTTGGATGCGGCCCTCTCGGTGGGGATGACAGGTTCTATTGCCAGGACTCGACGTGGTTTTACGGCAAGCCACGAAAAACCATCGGAATCTCCCTTTGGGTCTCTACTTGTTTTGGGGGGAGCAGTTGGTTTCCAACCCAGCCGAAAAACCAGGGTTCCATCGACAAACCCGCTTTGTGAGTCATGGAGTCACATCGTAGCCTAAAGAAATTGTGGGCAATGGGTGTAGGTTTTCAGTGGTGCTTTTTGCTTGGATGTTCGGACTTGAACTTGTTGCCAACTAATGGGTTTTCCATTAAACCACTAAAAGTTTCACTTTTGGCAGGGGAGCAGAAAGCAACCGAGATTTTCACCTTTGTGAGTCATGAAGTCACATCGTACCCTAAGGAAAGTCGGCATTGGGTGTAGGTTTTCACTGTTCAAAGTGGGTCCTTCCAGGATCTTTGCAAACTCAACCTGAGCTCGGCGGACAACGGGTTCTGTGACTGCTCAAGCTGCGAAGCTGGAGCCGCAAGTCGGGGGGCGAAAAGTTGGGAGTCTGAGGGATGCAATCCTGGGTCACGCTGAAAAGGGAAAGACAAATGTTGGAAAATGTTTTCTGTTTGGAGAAAAACATCCTTCAGCTGAGAGTGCCTGTTTTGGTTTCTAGTTTGGTTTTCCTTGCAATTGCCATGACCGGTTCTTTGGATGCCTTTTTGTTTTTTTCTTATCCCGCATGTGGATCTAGGGGCGAGGCCTCGTAGGCGAGAGCTCGTCTTTTCGGCAGCGTCATTGCGAGAGGGAAGTGCAGAGATGGCAACTGCAGTAGGACTCAGCCACATGGAAACTCACCCACGGTCGTGTCATACCTCCCCTTGTTGCGCAGCGGCACTATTCCTAAAATCCCCTTTTTTGGTTGGGAGAGTTCCCCTAAAATAGACAAAACAGGAAGCAATCGGGTAGCCTTATTCGAACCTCTCAAATCTGGAGGACCTAGTTGCCTTTCTAGGGGGAGCTTCCATCTTCATTCCGAACCCACGGATCTTCTTTTTAGTTGGCCAACACAAACTGACGGGAAACAACGTTTTTTGAAAAGAACGATGGTTGAAAAGGACGGGGAAGCAATCCCCAGATTTCGAGGTAGGTTGGCAGGTTGATACCTAGGTCGGTAGGTAAGTAGGTTGTTAGGTTGGTAGGTTGGTAGGTTGGTTGATAGGTAAGTAGCTTGTTGTTTGTCATGTTGGGAGCTAAGCTTTCATTTCTAGGTCGTTGCAAGTATGCCAAAGGTCAAACACTTAAAACCAGCTGCACAGTTCTTTGCAAATGCTACAACGAGCCCGTCTTCCTGGCCCGCAAGACCCAGTTTTTGGAGGCAGCTAAACATGTTGTAGTTCAACGGAACCACGAGCAAATCGAGGCCATGTTTGCCAAACACATCCCAATCTGAAAGCAAACACACTCACTGGATACGTGTATTCAATTGCAGTTGCGAGTCACCCCACATGAGTCATGCACGGCAGGTCCCCACTCCAGGTAAAAGAAGAGAAAGAAGGCACACCACAACCTAAGGTTCGGTTCTGAGTCTCTTGAGTGTGTGTTTTCTGGTGGCTGGGTAAACAAACAACAACAGCTTTTAGGAGGTCCGGTTGGAAGATCAGCTTCTGGGTGATTGGACGTGTTTCTTTTCCTCTGGGGGCTAACCGATTTGGATTTTGCCCCCTGGCCATTTCGATCTTTGGTCTTCCTCGTCCAAAGGAAGACGAGCCTCTTCACAACTGCTCGACTTGCGGAGCTGGATGCCCCACGACCTGTGGGGACTCTGTGCATTGTACTGCCGGGGCGCCAAGGAAACCGTCCAAAACGCGGCGCTCGAGTTTTCGGGGCGCTCGAGTTTTCGGGGGGGGGGGGGGGGCGCAGGAATGCGACGCGCGTTTCAGTGCAGCTTCCGAGCATGTCATTTGCCGGGATGGTTTTCCCTTGTTTGATGTTTTTTGTGACCATGTCGAAGCGCGACTTGATTCTGGAGAAAGTGGGGAAAATGGTTCGAGGTCCAATAGTTGCCCACACGTCCATGCCGGTGGGCTTCTTGGGATTTGGGTTCTTGAGGGTTTAAGGGCCGAAGGGTAGTCAGGGACGCAGAGTTTCTTCATTACGCCGCCCCTATACTTTGGCAACCAACATGCCAGAGTCCCGTTGGGTTCAATCCAACCGGCGTCTCTATCGGGGGGTCGATGGCCGAAACCCGTTTTTCTGTTTCTTCTTTGTTTTTCTCCTGCAGGTCCTTCCACTCAATAGGACATGTTCCATTCGAAGAGTGTCAGGAAGCAAACAGGACGATTCTCAAACAGGCTTTCCCAGTTGCCCAGCGGATTCAGCCCTGTGTTCCCTTTTTCGGGGAAGGGTTCCCCTTTAAACTCAACCAACCGAAAAAGGATGCCCGCTTTTTCCCCATGGCCACTGGGCATCTGAGTTTGGAAATGTTCATCTCCAAGGTTGGATAAATGTCAGCAGAAAGGATCACAAACAGAGGTTTCACAAGACATCGCGTATTTCCCTATCGGAGTGCCGTGTTTCAGACTAGCTCATCAAGCACAACAGCAACAAGCACAACATCGACTCGCACGACTTCTACAAGAACAGACACCGCCAGCTCCACGGCGATGCCAGTTTGGCTTTGTTCAGACAGCTGCGAAATCGATCCGAATTTTGTGAATGACAGCTGGTGCGACTGCGCGGGATGTGCTGCTTGGATCAAAGATGTATCATCTTCAGACTTTGCTATACCGAATCTATGCAGGTATGTACATTTCTGTGTGCGTGTACCCATGCTGGTATGTTATTTATCACATACCAGGCCATACCATAGCATGATATGCCATGCTTGCATGCTTACATACTGTCAGCAGAACTAATCTTGCTCAAGGACTAGCCCAAAACACGTTCCACTCGTGTTCCCCCAATGCAACCGCGAGCAGCGCAAGCTTTTGCTGACGACTCCACGGGAGGTAGCGCCTCCAACACGCAGCAAAGCGTTCAAGCTCGATCACATTTAGCCTTGAGCCAAAATAGACAAGGCATGACTTATTTATCGAATGCGGTTCACATCGAGTAAGCCACTCCTGCAGCCTGCGACTCCTGCAACTACCAAAGCTAATCAAGCTCATCAAACTGCAATGCAAAAGCATGCAAGGAGCAGCGCAATTCACGATAAATAATAAACATATATATATATACACACGTACGCAGCACGTACATACATACGTACGTACAACACATACATGTGTTTTGTCTTACACTGTGAATCTATAATAGATCCTCGAGTGTGTATAGTGCACTTATGAGCCATGCACATGTTTGCCTTGGTGCATTTTGCTTGGATGTCAGGACTTCAACTTTTTGCCAAATTGGTTTTCCACTACACCACTCAAAGTGAAACACTTTTTAGCAGGGGAGCAGATTTCGCAACGGATATGTTCACCTTTTTGAGTCATGACGTCACATCGTATGTTTAAGGACAGTGGGCATTGGGTGTAGGTGTTCACATGGTTTTAAGTGGGTTCCAGGATCTTTTTGCAAACTCAACTGTCCGCTTCTGTGTGGTTTGGCTTTTTCTCTTGGGGCTTTGTGTGGTTTGGCTGGATGGTCAGCCAGGAAGACGAGCCGGATTGGGACTGCACGAGCTGTGGTGGATGCCCTAGCGGCTGCTACGGGCAAGCCGTGTTCTGCAACCAGGCCGTTGTTCAACAGCAACAAAAAACATCAATGTATGCAATAATAGTAATAATAATAATAATAATAATAATAATGATAATAATAATAGTGATAATAATAGTAATAGTAATAATAGTATTGATAACATAATAATAATAATAAAAAAAATGATAATAGCAATAATAATAATAATAATAATAATAATAGTAATAATAGTATTGACAACATAATAATATTAACATAATAATAATAATAGTAATAGTCATAATAGTATTGATAACACAATAATAGTAATAGTAATAATAGTATTGATAACATAATACTAGTAACATAGTAATGATGATAATAATAATAAGCTAAGGTGATATCCCCAGCACGCCGTGCTCTTTTTGGTGCTCGCACCACCCCGCAGCCCTCGCAGAACCTCGTGGAACCCTGGTGGAACCCTGATGGAACCCTCGTGGAACCTTACCTCAGGGACGCCCCGGACCACGCCGGAGCCTATCTGGGCTGAGACCCCAAAGCTTTCAGCTGTTGGGGAATAGAAACAAAAGAAACAAATAAAACAAAAAGCAAAGACCATAATCACCTGCCGTGGCGAAAGAATGGGGGCCAGGGCTGAAAAGGGCCCGGAAAGTCTTCCATGAGGAAAAGGATGGAAAAGTTTTCCGGCCGAGTTCTACGGACAGCCATTTTGAGGGGGACATGTTCTGGTCCACCATGGTGCGAGAATTTCCCGGTCGAGTTTTTGTTTGGACCGACGAGCTTCGAAGCGGTTTGCGAGCCCGGAGCTCTGTCTTGAAATCGGGTGCAACTGGGCGCATCTTCTGGTACATGGGTCAAAATCCAAATCGGTTAGCCCGCAGTGAACATCCCAATCCAACCACTAACATAGACTAAAATGGGTGGTGAATTCACCTACCCCAAATGGTAGCATTGGTTTGGGGCCTCGTCTAGGTCCCCCAGCAATTGGTGCCCTTTCTCACCCCTGTTTTGGTTGGGAGGGTTCCCCTACTATAATAGACTACAGAAAAAAGAATTGGTACCCTTATTCTAACTCTCTAACGAAGAACCTAGCCAAGGAGATGGATGTTGTTATTTCATGTGTTCTTTCTTTTGGTCCAGAAATCCATTGGTGAACAGAACAGCTGTGTCTACCCTCACCAGAAGCAGCCCAACAGTATCTCGCTGGCAGGTGGCTGCCAATGGTACCATGAGCCCTTCAAGCTCGACGCAGGTTCCGCAACCAGTGCTGGCATCGCTATTGGTGACGGATTCAATCATCCTTTTCTAGTTGTTTGTTTTTCTTTGTTTTTTTTTTTTGGGGGGGGGGGGGGGGGGGGGGGGGGGTGGGCCGGGTGGCATTGCTCCAGAATGTTCACTTTTGGCAGGCAACATGTTGGGCGGAATGCGGAAGTTGCGGGGGCGCCTTTTGAGTATTGCACGCAGGCAATGAGGAAGGCTCGGTAAATTGCCATGCTTTGCGATGTTGTGTATTGTATTGTCAGTTCTGAAGAAGCAACAGTGGTAGCAACATTAGTACTTATGCTCAAGATCAAAAAGTGGGGGACTTGCCCTTCTACCGTGGTCGGCCACTAGCAGGTCCAAAGTCGGATTTGTGGAGCTCGGCGTATCTCAATTGACACATTTGGAGTGACACTGTTAGAAGAGGACATCCTAGGAGAGTTAAGCATTGGTTCACGTATTTTGCCCAGTAGACACGTTTTTGCAAGTGTTACCCACAAATTGCCAGCATACTGGTGGCAGGTCATTACCACGTCCTCTTTTGTGCCGACGACTGCGACGACTGTGACAGCTACTTGTCGCCCGAGTCAGCTTGTCAACTGTTCGGGGTGTGAAACCTGAATGCCATGCAAAAGCGGTCGCAAGCAACCCAGCGAGCAAGCCAACCCAACCTGGCGTTCACTTTTGGCAGGCAACATGTTGGGCGGAATGCGGAAGTTGCGGGGGCGCCTTTTGAACTGGACATTGGGAGCCCAGGTTTCCATATTTAAAGGAAGTTGCAAAAGGCAGTACCCCTCTTCTTCTGTGCCAGTGGCTTGTGTCAGTGGGAATATGTTCTTATTATTTTGCTGGTCAATTCTTTAAGTATTGCACGCAGGCAATGAGGAAGGCTCAGTAAATTGCCATGCTTTGCGATGTTGTGTATTGTATTGTCAGTTCTGAAGAAGCAACAGTGGTAGCAACATTAGTACTTATGCTCAAGATCAAAAAGTGGGGGACTTGCCCTGCTACCGTGGTCGGCCACTAGCAGGTCCAAAGTCGGATTTGTGGAGCTCGGCGTATCTCACTTGACACATTTGGAGTGACGCTGTTAGAAGAGGACATTCTAGGAGAGTTAAGCATTGGTTCACGTATTTTGCCCAGTAGACACGTTTTTGCAAGTGTTTCCCACAAATTGCCAGCATACTGGTGGCAGATCACTACCACATCCTCTTTTATGCGGACGACTGTGACGACTGTGACAGCTACTTGTCGCCCGAGTCAGCTTGTCAACTGTTCGGGGTGTGAAACCTGAATGCCATGCAAAAGCGGTCGCAAGCAACCCAGCGAGCAAGCCAACCCAACCTGGCCAGCAGCTAGCCAGCCAACCCAACCAAGCCAGCCAGCCTGCCAGCCTGCCAGCCAGCCTGCCAGCCAGCCTGCCAGCGAGCCTTGAATCAAGAGTTGACTTCATAAGGCTCCCGAAAAGTGCCTCTGAACCCCTGGTGCGAACCCATGGTACACATGCCCAATATGATCCCTGCAGCTGAACCCCTTGTATGAAGGTCTGGGATTCATCCCGGAATGAATCCCTGGTTACTTCATGCCCCGTGGCTTCCAAAGCAGGCTTTGAAACAAAGCAAAACGCATGGGCGCCTCTCTGTAAGTGGCAACTCCACGCTCGTTTCCAGTGCGCAGTTGGGCCTAGGCCACGACGACAACTAGACCAATGAACCCGGATCTGGTCACTGCGGTGCTGGACTACGCAGGGCGCCCAGATGTTCGAGTGGTTTCATCCCTAGCCTTTCTCGCGCCATTGCCTGGCTTGGGGGGTATTTGGTGTGGTGGCTTGTTTGTTTGCTTGTTTGTTTGTGCGTTTGTTTGTGTGTTTGTTTTGTTTTGTTTTGTTTTGCTTTGTTTTGCTTTGCTTTGTTTGTTTGTTTGTTTCTTTGTTTGTTTGTTTGTTTGTTTGTTTGTTTGTTTGTTTGTTTGTGCTCTGTCTGTCTGTCTGTCTGTCTGTCTGTCTGTCTGTCTGTCTGTCTGTCTGTCTGTCTGTCTGTCTGTCTGTCTGTCTGTCTGTCTGTCTGTCTGTCTGTCTGTCTGTCTGTCTGTCTGTCTGTCTGTCTGTCTGTCTGTCTGTCTGTCTGTGTGTTTGTGTGTTGGTTTGTTGGTTTGTTTGTTTGTTTGTTTGTTTGTTTGTTTGTTTGTTTGTTTGGTTGTTGTTTGCTTGCTTGCTTGATTGCCTGTTTGTTTGTTTGTTTGCTTGCTTGATTGCTCGTTTGTTTGTTTGTGTGTTTGTTTGTTTGTGTTGCTTTGCTTTGTTTGTTTGTTTGTTTGTCTGTCTGTCTGTCTGTCTGTCTGTCTGTTTGTTTGTTTGTGTGTTTGTTTGTTTGTTTGTTTGTTTGTTTGTTTGTTTGTTTCTGTGTTTTTTTGTGTGTGTGGTTTTGTTGTTTGTTTGTGTGCATTGTGTGTGTTGTGTTTTCTTTGCTTTGCTTTCCTTAACCGCTTGCTTGGCTACTTTGTATTTTTCGTTCTTGCTTGCTTGCTTGCTTTCTTTCTTGCTTGGTTGTTTGCTTACTTGCTTTCTTGCTTTCTTGCTTTCTTGCTTGCTTTCTTGCTTGTGTGTTCGTTGGTTTGTTTGCATGGTCTGTTTTGTGTGTGTGCGTGTGTTTGTTTGCCAGCCTACTAATTGTTGATGGTTTGGGTTAAGTCTGGCGGGTCTATTATCGACAACAAGCTGCTGTTTCGAGGTTTCCTTTGCAAGAACCATTGCACATGTTGGCCGCGTCAGGAGAGACAGGGCGATTCCTTGACAGAGGCGGTTCTGCATAAAAAACAAATAAACATGTTTTCATATTTTGGGTCCAAACTGGCTCAAAACCCCGGACAAGCCCCCGGACAAACCCCCGGACAACCCTCCAGACAGCCTTGACGGCACAAAATTGGCGGGACAACCCCCGGACAAACTCCCGGACAACCCTCCGGACAGCTTTGAAGGCGCAACATCGGCGGGACAACTCCCCGGACAAACCCCTGGAAAACCTTTCTGGACAGCTTTGAGGGCCCAAAAGCCCGGGACAAACCCCGGACAAACCCCCGGACAACCCTCCGGACAGCTTTGAGGGCCCAAAAGCCCGGGACAAACCCCGAACAAACCCCCGGACAACCCTCCGGACAGCCTTGAGGGCCGAAAAACCCGGGACAAACCCCCGGACAAGTCTTCGGACACACTCGGAAACCACTCGGAAACCGCTCGGAAACCACTCGGAAACCGCTCGGAAACCACTCGGAAACCACTCGGAACCCGCTCAAAACCACTCGGGAATCACTCGGAAGGAAGTATTCTCGCGAGGGGGGGGTGTGCAGCATAAATCTCGGCAAAGTGCGCGGACAACCCTTCGGCCAGTTGTTTGTCCGGCAGTTTGTCCAGCACTTTGTCTGGCACTTTGTCCCGCACTCTGTCCCGCACTCTGTCCCGCATATCGAAGGGGGGGTTTACGCAGAAGGGCATTCGTCAAGCGATTCCTTGTTTTTCTGAAGCATGCAACATGACCAAATCCAGGACCCCTGAAACAACTGCCTGTGGCCATGTGGGCCTTTAAGACTACAGTCAAAATTGAAGGCTTCTTCTTCAGACAAGGCTGGTGGTTAGTGAACGCCGCACAAAAGAGCTCGTTTCCTAGCCTGTGAGCAAGGCTTGAAGAAATCCTCACTTGGCTTCACCGAATACATGAGCTGTGTCCCGCTACTTGGTGCTTTGTGTTCGGGGCCTGATAATATTTTAGCCCCCTGGTTCTTGTAGAGGGTAAATGGGCAACTAGCCCTCAACCACCCCACCACCAATCCAAACCAGTAGATTTCTTGTTGGTGCTCAGCAGGCAACGAGGGAATGACCCTTACCCGTCCCTTGTGGTTTCTTTTAAAGGCCCCGTGGCCTATAGGACCGAAAGCCGAGGTCATATCGCAAGCTCTCCCGCTGGCGCACCTGGCATACACGGCCGTTGCGGCGACAGGTGATTTGGCACCTTGCTCTGCAACCTTTGGCTATAGCTTCTAGGTGGTTTGGATATGGGTGCGTCGTTCTTTGATGGTTGTCTTGTTTTTGTTGGTTCAAAACAAATCCAACAACAAAACCGCCCATTTGGGGTCCCTGTTTGATGGTTTTCTTGTTTTGGCTGGTTCAAAACAAATTCAGCAACAGCGCCCTTTGGGGAGACCTCAAAAACCGACACACCCATATGTTGCCGACACGCCATGGACTCGGACATTTTGTTGGCAAGGTTGGCGCGAGAAGATGTTTTCTCTATGCGCACGGGGCAATTTACGTCGGAGCAGTTCGTGTGAGGGCGGGACACTTGCGAGATTCACTTTCCTGGCGACTAGCGTGGAACCCCAAAAAGCCATCATTGGCAGATTCCATGTTCGTTTGTAGGGGGTCTAAAGCGCAGGATACGTTTCGCACGTCGTGGTTTTTTGTTTCTTTGTGTTGCGAGACCCAAACCGGAGGCCCGTTCTCAAGTGCCAGAAGTCATGGGGTGGTCTGTGAGAGACCAAACCGCGAACGATTTGGGACGCAACTTAGGTGGTGGAAGCTTCTGATGGTGCCTGGGTCATTCGTTTCCCGCAGCTGGGCGAAATTTTCATCACCTCGATGGCTTTGGAATCTTTGGGATAATGAACATGGAACCAAGTTAAGACCCAAAAACAAACTCGTAAGGAGGACGGGCCGTTAATTGTTTGGTTCCATGTTAATTCGCAGGTAAGTGAATCTTCAGTTCTTTTGGTAGGAGCAGCTTACAGTAACTCGAGCCCTTTTCGGGGAGTTACTCACTTGACTGACCCGAATCACAACCAATATGACAGAGCACTCAAGCTTCGCTGCTCTTTGGATTCCACGGACGAGTGGTTGCCAGGGATGAAGTACTCCCCACAGCGGGGGAACCCCGGGCTATCCCAAACAAAGAATCCGCGAAGAATGGGCATTATCTTGCTCTGGACTTGAGTCACTTTTGGTGTTTGTACCATTTGAGTGACAAATAACATCAAATAACAGAATTTCAGGTTACATTTTGGGCAATCCACTTATGGGGAGTAGATTCTTTCTTGTTCATGTTTTTTGAGGGATCTCGAGGCCTTGGAGTGAGGCGCCGGTTTCGGGATCGCAGTGCTACTGGTGGGAGAGGTATCCACCCGCCAGCTAAGACGCATATCCAGCAGGCCATCCCAGACGGAGCCAGTATAATGATGTGAATCGGTCCAAGGTAAACTTAGTTTGGCTCGAGCTGGCCGTTGGAGTTCACTCTGCAACCTTTTTTCAACCTTCTTGGGAAACGCGGATCTAGGAGGTCTAGCTGTTTTCTTGTGAACGGCTGCTAGGTCATGCCTTTCTTGGTGGCATGGATTGGATAGGAAGACACCCACTTGTACATGGTCAGATGCTGTACCTGCGAACATTTTGGAATATTTTCAAAGTGGCCTCTGAGAAACTAGAATAGGTGGCCCGAAAGCGTAGCATAGAAAATCCGACTTTTAAAATGTCCGCAGATGGCCGAAAACAACACGAATTTCTATTGTTTCATTTTAATTCCGCCGCTTCGATTGAAACGTGTTTTTGGGAGCCTTGCTTCCTTCCCTATAGATTCCCTGGAGCGGGCAGTGCGCTCCATGCCAAAGAAAACAGTGCTCGCCAATTTTAACAGCGCTCGCAGAAAATTCAAGCAGCTATTTCCAAAAAGACACGTATTTTACACACCCGAAAAAGCACATGTTTTACACACAATGGAGGTCCTAGATATAATATAGCGAGCACCGCGTACAATGTCAACTGCGATGTTTGCTTTTGAGCACGATATGGAGTCGACCAAGGGCACGGCAGCGCAATCGTGCAAGTTGTCTTTCTCAAGTGTGCTGGCGCGAGTTTGCTCTTACAAGTGTGCTCGGTGCAAGTTGCCTTGCGCAAGTGCTTTTGCGCGCATGATTTGTGCAAGTTGCTTTGCGCAAGTTGCTCCGTGCAAGTCATTTTCAAGTTGCTCTGTGCAAGTTGCAGGGCAAGTTGCTCTGCGCACGTTGCTCTGTGCAAGTTGCTCTGCGCGAGTGGTGCCAGTTTCTGTGTGTGACTGCTCCACGCAAGTTGCTTTGTACAAGTTGATCGCTTTGTGCTATTTGAAAGTTGCTCTGGGCATGCCAGTTCCTTTGCGCGAGTGCTCCGTGCAAGTGCCTTACGTGCCAGTTGCTCTGTGCAAGTGCTTTGTGCAAAGTCTCTCTGCAACTTGCTCTGCGCAACTTACTCTGTGCAAGTTGCTCTGCGCACGTGACAACTCCGTGAGCATAAACCACTAGCACAAGTTCTCACTGTTTGCACATCGAACATGCTGATCCCTGCACAGGGTGTTACTTCGCGCACAGTGGGCTCGGTCCTACGCCGCCTCAAAAGACAACTTAAACCCCTCATGCAAGTCTTCACGTAGAATTGTGCTTGCTCGCGTAAGGAACAAGGCAGATTGCGGCGTAAGCGCCGAACAAAAAGCCCTCGTCCAGCCTGGCAAAACCCTTTGCGAACACTTACTGGCCAGGCCAGCTATCAGCTATCAGACCGTTTAGCGAGTTACGTGCACTTCCAACCGTGAGTGCTTGGTTCTGACAGCATGGAACCAGCTGTTGGGAGAGGTCCAATTGATGTTGCGCCAAACAGTTGGGTTTCTTCGTTGCAGGGGACCCATGCCTCGATTCAGGGTGAACTGGTGCGCTGTAGCCTTAGGTAGCCCAACTTCACAGAAATTTTAATCACATGCAGACTTGAAGCAGCGACTGAACCGTCCAGGAAGATATCTCCCTCAACTGAAGCATTCGGATGTGGATGTAAAAGAAGTCCTGAGTGAGCTCACATTGTTTCTGTGACTCTTTTTGCCTGACACCTCTTGACTCCAGGAGTTCAGATTCTGGTGCCACCTTCTCCGGGACGCACACCTATTTGTCGCCGGGCACCATGCCACCCATCGGGCTGCCCTCAACGCTGCTTAGCTCCAGCAGGTCTCCTCGAGTGGTGCTAAAGGCAAGCAATTGCGCCTGTAGCCATGGTCACCTTCCTTTTGCTGAAATGAATATATATATATATAGATATATATTTGTTCCCTGTTAGTTTTAAAGGGAAGCAACTTCACTACTGGACATATTTTATGTTTTTGTTTTTTCTTCAGAGGGCTTAAGCAAATGGAAGTCACTGGTTGCTCTGTAAGTGACCGAGACATGAGTCCTTTTAGAGGGGACTTTCACTGCAATCCCGAAGGGGAATCATGACAGCTCCTCGCCAACGGAGATTTTATGGATACATGGGAGTGCCGATGTGTTTCAAACCTGCCCTGGGACTGGCCGAATGGAAACCAGAGGGAACCAGTTTTGGGGTCAGCTCCCTAAGCTGACGGGCTCCAAAAACAACTCACAATGGAGCCCGGTTTTTACGAATGAAGTGGTCCGTCCAAATATAACGGGCGAAGGTGTTGAAGGTCCTCTGATGGCTCTGGCTCTGGATTTCTAGGAGTTTCCCACCTCCAAGTTTGTCCAGGCATCGACTTGAGCTTCATTTGCATTCGTCTACTGCTTTCGTTTCTGAAAGGAAAGAGAAGGCAAGAAGGAAAAGAAGTAAAATGTGAACCTGCTTTCTGACTTTGCTTCTCGTCTTTGAAGGCAAAGACCACTTTGGTTTCTGAACATATCCCAAGCCTTTGAGACTACGTGGTGTGTTTCTGCCTCCAAGGCTGCGTGAGCTCATCTTTCCTGGCGGTTACTTGCTTGCGCCTGCCTTAGTCGTGTCGGTCGCCTGGATTGACAGGAGCTCCGGATCGGATAAGGCGTCCAGTGGCTCTTTCAGCTCGCATCTCGTGGGTATGCTGTCTATTTGGATGGTGGAAGCCAAACCTTTTGGCACATGCGGATCCACCTGGTGAAAGCGGAAAAAAATCGGACCCATGAAGAATTCCCCCCCCCCCCCATGGTGGTTGGCACCCCATGAGTCAATCAATGAGAACCAAAAACTGGGCTTGGATGGTTTGGATTCCCGAGGTCCTGGGATGGTTTCGGACACCCCCGCACCCGGACCTTCCAAACCAAATCCGCCAACTTCTGGCGGGATCTTGGCAGGATGCGGCGCCAGATCTTTTTTCAGCTCCCCCAACAGCCTCAGGTTTGGAGGTGCCGGTACCTTGCGGGCTCGTTAGGTTCCATGTTCATCCCAACGGGAGGTGATTTTTTTGCTTGAGCTCTCTTTAAAGCAGCCGCAAGAAAGGTGTTTTCTCTGAAACAAGCCGCGCGGTTGGTTCTTGTGCTTGCCACTCCAAAGGGCTGAACCTAGAATTTTTGTGCTTTAAAGGGACCTGTTAGCATTAAACAGAAGCGCGCAGGGATTTCATGTGCTTCCGCATCGTTGGTTCACTTGCTTCCAGTTGCCTTAGCATATATTTCTTGAATTTTCTTGCTTTTTGTGTTTACTGGGAATCTATCACTATACTGAAGGTTTTTGTTTTTCCAGGGGTCAAAAAGCAAATGGACGCTGGCAGATCCGTTGGGGTCAGATCTCCGACTCAGGCCGCCAAGATTGGGACAAGCGCTGCGGTTCCAGCAGCGGTCCAACCTGGAGCGAGGCTTGGATGAGGTAGCCACTAGCCATTCCCGAAGTTAGTAAGTCTGGGTACCCACCAAAGCCATGGTTACGAGCCTTCGTTCAGTGGGTTGCAACCAGGCTTACTATCTACTTACCCGACGTACAGCATCGATCGCCCTTTCAAGTAGGGATCTTACATGACGAGTTGATTTCAGTGTTCTACGTTGTGCATCATGGTTTTACCAGAAACGGCCACTGGAAGTATACCGAGTCATGCTCCGTTGTACCCAGCTAAAGGGCTTGACCCCTGGTCCAACATGCCTTTTTCACCACTAGAAGACACACAACATCTTCCGCACCATGATCTGCGAACTTGGTTGATTTATTTGGACCTTTTCCCTCTCGCACGCGTACCCTTTGCATGAGTGCTGTGAAGCCATGAATGACCCGGATTTGTTTTTGACCTCGGAAGCTCTTGTTTGACTTTACATAGCAGGTCTAGGAATAGGAGTACAAGGCCTCAAATTGGAAACACCTTTTAGACTTTGGGGGTTGTGGTGACTCGGGTTCCCATAAGCCATGCACAAACCAGAAGTCGAATCCCCTGGACCATCGCTGCCAGCTCGCTCATTTTCGCGAGGCTCGACAAACCGGTGCCAAGCCAAAGCTGTGTTTTGACTTCCGTAAAAGGGCAAGAAGGTCGTTGCCGATGTTGGGCCCGACTGAAAGCCACAAAACCAAAAAATCGGCTGGAGGTTGAGAAAAAACACGCTGTCAAATGTTGCAAATTGGGACGTCTCAAACGGGAGCGAAACGTGTCAGCCCGCCCGTGCAGGCAAGAAGTGCCTTGGAAACCATCCTCCCTGCCCTACCTGAAAGGGGCCCCCCCAAACCCATTTCCCGAGTTTTCACACCAGAAGGGGAATGTCGGCTGCATCAAAAGCCAATTCGGGGCAACCGCAGCTTCTCCCTCCAATTCCTTTCGCTTCTTCCACTAAGGCTAAGATGTAAAGCAGGAGTTCTACGTATACAATACCTAGGGCTTCAAGAACCTGTAAAAATGTCGTACCCTGACTAAAACATCGTGTTTTTTCACGATTTTCTGAAAACATCGTGTTTTCAGGAAAACCATCGTGTTTTTGATAAAACCCCTTAAAAATGGGCTTCTGAGGCCAAACACTCATTTGGAGCAAAGGGTCAAAGGCAAGGGTCGGGAGTGGATTCACACAGACATCACCCATTAAGATTTCAACTGAGGGCAACGCTCTATACTGAGTATGCTTCAAATTCTAAGGACCACATTGATGAGCCTGACAGCCAGGGTGTGCAGCTGGCTTCAGTCTTGAAGTACCTTTCACAGCAACAGGCACCTGAAGACTGGCGCCAGGTCATACCGAACCAGTTTGAAGGGGGTGCTGGAATCCGAAAGCTCCTTTTGGTGCAAAACAAGACCAGGTGACACTTTTGAGATTGTTTTTTGGTCAATTTTGAGTTTTTTTTAGAAAATGGGGCGGGATCCTGGCGGCTAACCGCAGAAACCCGTAGAAAACCCGTAGAAGCCCGTAGAAAACCCGTAGAAACCCGTAGAAAGCCCGCAGCCCCAACCGAAAACATCGTGTTTTTGGAAAACATCGTGTTTTCTAACCCGTAGCTAAACCGTGGAGAACCCGTAGTAAAGCGTGGCAAAGCGTGGAAATTCTATGGGTTTTTCGGGTTCAACCACGAATGCGCTAATTCGAGAATGTTGCTGGAAAACAACGAAGTCGTGAGCAAAAGCACGGTCTTTGCTTGAGCTTGCGCGCTGTTCGAAGCCAGCACGCCCTCATCATGGCACTGCTGCTTGACAAGTGTCATAAAACCGTGGTACTTTTGACTATTTGGGTCCCCGGCCTCCTTCTTTCAGGTTGGAGTTGCGAAAGACGAGTGGCGAATGCGAAGCTGATTTCGTTGCGAGTGCAAAAGGGGAGGGCGATGGGAGATTCTGAGGTTGAGATGATGCTTTTGAGATCTTTTGAGAACGGATGACGAGTTGAAGGAATGTATGGGAAACTGCTTGAAATCGAAAATGCGGTGTTTCCCGAAAACATTGTGTTTTCCCAAAAAACATCGTGTTGTTTGTAGGTATGACATTTTCATCGGTTTTTGAGGCTCCTGGTATAGCAAACGCACATTTCAGTGGCAGCGTGACTGCCCGGCGCTTTCCGGATAGCCGAATCGTTCACGTGCTGAGGACAGCGGTGACACTGGATGGGCGCCAGTGGACGGTCGCAGAGGGCGTCCTTGAAGTGCTTCGGACTCTCTAGGGGGCTGATGGCCCTTATTGACTTCCATTGGTTAAGAATATGCTGTATTTTCCCCTGTTGGTTTCAAAGGGAATCTATCACTACTGGAAATATGTTGATTTCCAGCCCAGCTGAGCAAATCGAGGTTGAACGCGATGAAAAACCGAGCCATGACGGTGGCCTTTGAGGTGTCGATTCACATTTCTAGGTCCCCCAGTAGTGCCCTTCTCTCCCTTTTTTTTTGTTGGGAGGGTTCCCCTTCTTCTAACCGCTCAAATCTGGAGGACCTAGTATCAATTCACATTTGCTCCACTTGGAGCTTAGCCGCGGCCAGTCCATGTACAGCCTGGCCTTGCACATACCAGATGCGTCGCAATCGAAGCGTCCCCCTCAAAAAAAGGCACATTTGCGAATTTAACATAAACACCATTTCCAATGCAGCGCAATTCGAGGTGTTGGAATCCAGAAGGTGTGTTTCCCTTCCAATGCACAACTTCTGCCCTCCACTTTGTGGTTGAGGAACCAATATGGGCGGCGCCAAAACGTTTGCTTGAGTTCAGATGGTCGGCTTTGTGGCTTTCATGCAAATTTCTTGGGGATCTGACTTCGATTCGATTCGTCTCCAGGTGACAATGGCATCCTATTACTATGCAGCCGGAGCTCCTTACGGGCAGCTCACTCCCATTGCACCTGGCCGCAGGGAATCCTTCGACGCCCAAAATGTTCTTTTCGCAACTGAAATGTGTAGTTTGTTGACCCCATATTAATCAAGTCTATCAATAAGGGGTGGTTTTTGGCCCCTTGAAAAGTGGTCTGATTCCCCGCCAAACCCAGGTTGACATCCCCCTATTAAGAAACTGGGGCTGAAAAATCTGGCTGTCGCTCAAAACTATGTACCAACATGGAACCTTGGTAAATGGGACCAAAGGCTAAAACCTGCGGTTTGCCCTAGCTCTTTAATTTTGACCCATATGGGGTCAAAGCGGGAACCCTTTCTTATTTTTCACGTCTTTGCGCCAAGAGTAGGTCGCTGGCAGGGCCACCAGCCAAAGGGCCACCAGCCAAGTTTCAACCCGGGCCTGCGATGTGACGGATCTTTGGACTTTAACTTTCAAGTTGTTGGTTTTCCGAATTGAAAGTCCAAGTTGATTGATCTTGACAAGTCAACTTTAAACTCTTTGGAAGTTGGTCACTCTCAACTTCACTTTGGTGCATGTTGCCAAGGGATGTTAGGACTTTAACTTTTTGCCAATGAATCGGTTTTCCGCATGAAAAATCACCAACGTTTAGTCACTTTTAGCAGGGGAGCAGGAAGCCACCCACAAGTTTCTGCAGACAGCAAATAGGCTGTAGAGCTGGGCTCGCACTCCGAAATCTCGAGTTCCAGCCGTGGGTTTTGGGCCTTGCAACTAAACTCGGTGCCTGAGAGTCCTTGACGCCGGCTTGGAGTCCAGCGATGATGAACTTGAGATAGAATATAAGATTATATCTCATTTTTCTTAGGGTGAATGACAACAAATATGTGTATAGATATATTTTGTCAATGAGCATCTTCGTGTTTGGAAACCCTCCTGTTCTGAGCCTGAAATTCCGGTCAATGAGAATGGGTGAATTGAATCCACCTCTCACTCGATCCTCAGAAGTCACCCAACAACTCGTTGCCAATTAGAATTCCCCAGCGACCCGGCTTAAGGCGATTTTGGAATCTGAGCGTGAATTGTTCCACCACCCTAGTTGATCCCAACGATTTTGGGGATCCTCAGAAGAGGTTGCTTTGGAGAACCCTCAAGCCGGGGCCGCGGTTCTGCATTGGAGGGTGGGGTGTGAGGGGCGACCCGGTTTCTGGTGCGACAGGATTCCGGAATGACTGAGTCCGGATCCAGGGATTCCGTGTAAGGAAAGATCATAGGATGGATGCTTTGGGGTCATTCCATTTCTCATTCCCTGCTGAGAACCAGCATCTCCTTGGAACCGATCGACCGAGGGCATCAACGACGGCATGCTCGGGCTCGGGTGGTTCTCCCTTGCGACCACCCCCATTTTCATCATGCCGCTGAAATCAAAGACGTTTGGAGGTCTGAACTGGTACCGACGAACGTGGAACCCTTGTAGAGGAAGATTGTTTTTTAGGTACCCTCAACCACAATCCATATCACTGGAAAAGTACTTGAGTCTGTCTTTTTGAGGATGTCTTTATTTACCCAGTTGTCACAACTGGTTGTTGTGCATATGCCGCTGTTAGCTCCTTCAAAGGCTGAATGTAAAACCTGAATACCCCACAATGTTGGGCCGAATCGTGGCTGGTTTCAGACACTCAAGCCATGTGTAATGCGACGCCGAACAAAGTCTTTGCGTTTCCTAAAGTTCCGCTATTGGAAGATGCAATCAGCCTTGTGAGACTCACCTGGTCCAGCATTCGTGTTCAAATGCCAATCTGATGCGCTGCTCTTCCAAGTGAGAGTCCTCATTGCTACACATAAGACAGATGGAACGCCATGAGTGTCATTGGAATGCCGGGAAGGTTTTGCCGTACGTGTAAATACATGTAATGTTATTGTGAACGATGCTGAATCCTGTGGCTTCAATTTGTCAAGTTTGTGTTTCCACTTTGGTGCTTTCAATGGGAGGTGTCAAAGCCAAGCAGCTTACTTAGCATACTACTTGTGGTTGACAGAGTTCACTATTCGAACTGCCCTTTGCAAGAGGGGGCTAAGGCTCTGAAACAAAAGGTTAAAGTGTCGGTAGTTCCCGATAGTCAAGTAAGATGCCCCAACAGCTCAGACTGATGTTCAACTAGAATTAATTGGAATTAAGCCACAGTCAGGCAGCTTTGAAGTGTTTGTCTCACGAAAGAACCGATCAGCACAGAGCACAAGCCAAAGCTGACATTGAATTGCATATTTGGAAGATCAATCGCTTGCAATGCTTAAACATATCAGAAAAGGGTCATATTAAGCAGGGCTCCTTAAAAAAATCATTTTGCAACCATTTGAAACATGTTGCTTTTTCAACACCAAAACAAAGGGAAACCGCCATTGACAAGTTGCAATGTTCAGGTGTATGCATCCGGGTCCCTGTTAAGTCAAAGCTAAGTTTTAGTACCCAGCTCTGCATGCTCCGCCATTTTTTTACGGGTGAGTTGATTTGTTTCATGGGACTACATCCAGCGGGCCCCCGGGTGCAAGGCGGATCGTAGCCAGCGGTTACAGGGCAACAGAGAATAACAGCACGTCAATCAAGTTCAGCCTGGGGCATCGAACCATAGTCTGGCACCTGCTAGTCCTATTTGCTGGAAGCTGCCAATCAAGCACACTCTGAGACGGAAACTACGCATGCCGAAACCAAACTGTGATGC